CCCCCCTTCCCGCGTCCATTCGCGATATCTCGCTGACCCCCCGCTGCAACCAGGAAATGAACCCAGCTCACATTGTCTGCTCCTCACAGCAGCGAGCCGTGCAATGTCCCGCCAACACGGCACCCAGACCCCACGCAGCATTCTCATCTGTTTGTCCTTACTGGTGTCACTTTCTGGTAGCTAACACCATTGTAACACATAATCACTTATGTTCCGCTGTAACGGTGGTAGACTCATCAGAACAGAGTGGGCGAGCTGACCAATCAGAGCACAGTGGGCTCACAGGGAGGGGAGGGGGGGGCAGGAGCTCCAACAAGCCGTTTAGGACAGAGAGTGAATACACATACTATACAGAGATGCTGTATGAGAAACCAATGTGAGTTTGGAAAATTGCATAAATCTATTTTAGTAAACCTCAACAATGGAATTATGATCAGTAGAAATGGCCATGACATGGGACCTTTAAAACTAAAAAGGTGCCAGATTGTAAACACGCATCCCAAGAGGATATTATATAGTGATGCAAGACCGCAACCAACAAATCCTACTCATCGTGCCTTTAAATGGCAACTATTTTAATCAATCAAAAGATTTGTTTATATTTGTTTCAAGTTGAAATGCCTAATATGATCTGGTTTACACTTCTCAGCTGTAAAATGTTCTGCTTTTCTTTGTCATGTGACATTCAACTGAATTTCCTGAAACTTGACGTTTTCTTTGTGTTTTGGATTAAATCTTGGACTCCAGGAAAATGAGCTTGTGTTTTTTTTGACACTATAAATACAATTATTGAGGAAAAATCTACGATTAATTTGGAAATGGAAACGATTATCTCCCTCTGATCCCTTCCTTTTTAATATCTATTGTCTACTTATCTCAGCTTCACATTACCTACCTTCTCTTCCTTCCTCTCTGTGCTGTCCTCCTATTTTCCACATATTCTCACTTTTCCCTGGTTTTAACTAAAGATCTCCCGAACGTTTAATATCCGCACAGCCAGTAATCTTTATTTAGTAAGGCCCTCAGCAACATGGCTAGATCGATCCTTAGAAAGATGTCATTAACATTTAATGAATTTTCTCGGATTTGACTCCTCCCTGTAATTACATTTCTTAATGGCTAAATGAACCAGCGGCCAACAGTTGCAGAGGGTCTCATAACACAGCCAGGAAGTTACACTGATGATGAGACTATAACAAGCATAGCACACACAGGATGTCTCTCTGTGGAAACTTTAGGTGATCTAACACCTTAAAGTGACAATTACAACAAAGTACTCTTTCATCCGTGGATGATGGATCATACCTATCACGTCCCCCGTCTATCACTGCATGCCTCTCAGACAAAGTGGCTTTTTCCACATCTTCTTTTTTCCCCTAATTTTCTTTCATAAGCAGAGTTGTGCATAAGCTTTGTCTGACTATTTATTTTTGAACCATGCTAATCACATTCCCATCCCACATGCTAACACTTAAGCCACCCTACACCATTTTGCAGAAGCTACACACTGTATTTAACATAATGTATCTAAGCCACACGTTAAAGAGATAAAATCCCCCTAGATGAAGAGTGACTTTTATCAACAGCCTCTTCCGAGCTCAACCCCCAATTCCCATTTTGATACGCTCTCTCCAAGGAGGAGGTGACAGCAGTGTGTGTTTGCAGATGTGCGAGTGCCTTTTCAATATGTGTTTATGCTTGTGTTTGAGGAGGGGGAAGAGCATTTCAGGGGGCTAACGTAGATGCTGCTGGTAGACTACACTCAACAGACACCCACACCACCCAGAGCCTCCTCCTTCTCCGTTTGGCGTGGCAATCATTAAAATGATTTATTTAACTATTGGCCCAAGGCTGAGAGATTAGTGTGACAGGCCTATTTTATAATTCATTCCCCCACCGCCAGGGGAAGTGCAATTCAGGCAGATGACACACATAGAGAGAGAGCTCGGAGCCTCATGGCTCCTCCACGGATCAGAAAGGGAAAAAAAGCCCTAAACTGCCGACGGATGCACATCCCTCTCTTTCTACAGATTAAAAGGGAGGAGAGGATGTCTAGTCTGAAGTAGAGACGAGGAGAATGAAGAGGGGGCATTTATTTATCTTCAAATCCATATCAACCACTGACAGATAGATGGAGGGGCTGGTGCAACGGTGGAGACTTTGTTTGGGAGGTTGTAAACTGGGTGTTGTCTGCGTGTGGTTGTGTGTGCCTGGAAACACACAGCCAAGCCTTTGGGAGCACATTCAGCACTACAGGGGTGCATACCAATCCAGATGCTTTATTTAAAAACAATTCTGACCCTAGACATCCAAAAAGGTTTGGTAGAATCACACTGGGGGTACAGCCACAGGGGGGAGAACTTTAAAATAGATATTCTTCTAATTCTGTATGGACCTGACTGTTTCTATCTGGCAGCTCAACGGTATAGGTGTATGAGAGAGAGAGAGATTCATTTCAATTCACCAAACTAGTGTGCACTCCTGTTAGATAAAAATAAGGTGGATGTGTGGGTGCTCTGGATGAGAGTTACTTTGCTGCGGGCTCATCATCATCTGTTTTAATTTAGTCTAAAAGGCAGACTTGAGTAATGACAGTATGTCACTGTGATTGTTCTCTGTAGCATGTTTTTAGGATATATGTGTGCAAATATATATATAATATATAAATATTTGCATGTTTTGTCTAGCCTTTTTGAGCAATGAATCTGTGCCGACCACATTATGCTCTGGCATAGATGGCTGAAAAATATCTGATCTTTCTTGACCATAAACAGGCCAGTTAATCCTTCTCTCTCTATCTCTCTCTGTTCACACATGTCCTGCTTCGTGTGCACACTGAGGCATTTCTACAAAATCAAGGCTTTAAACCTCCAACTACCAGACCATCCAATTAGCGAAGCAAAGGTCAGGGCTAATCGATTATATTGCACAGGGAAAACACAAAGGAGCGGGAAGTTGGAACAAGAAGAAAAAGGAGATCTAATGGAACTAATAGATTTAGCATTATCATTGATACAGAAAGATTTTTAATTCTACTTTTCTGATTTTAATTCTTCGTCCTCTATGCTACACACCAAAGGGGCTAGATAAGGGAAAACACTATGAGGAGTGGAATTGAAAGACTGTGCTTAAATGTTTCATTACCTTCGTAACTGGAGGGAACGTCTATCAAAAAGAGGAACGAAATGAATTCAGTTAAACCATGAGTCATTAATAACCCGTCTTTACACATGTGGGAGGAGTTTTCATTTCCTTGAGAGGGTAAGATTGATTGACTAGATGAAGAGGTGTGGCTGAAGTTAAAGAGCTAGGGGAGATGAAATGCAGCTCCTGCCATTTATTTGATTGCCTCTACAATATATGTGGAATACTTACCGTTCAGCGCCACAAAGGTGTCTGTAAGAAGAAGAAAAGAAATGAGGGGAAACGTGTTATTGCTTGCAGTAAAGAGAGCTTATGTTTTAACATGATCAAAAGCCATGACTTTTAAAGTAATTTAGAATCGACTGGCTGCTCCATATTCACCAAACTTTAAGTTGATCTATAGCTTCTTAAGGTAATGAACACTGGCTTCCCTTGACTAAACAGAATGATGAAATGGATGGGAAAATGCACTACCTTTATAGGTAAACAGTCGAAATTGAGATGAAATGGAGAAAGATAAGTGATTGAAGGTCAAATGTTTTTAAAGTTCTCTTCTTCAAACTAAGCAACTGAGTATAAAATATACAACATGTAACATTTGATACATCTAAACAGTTATAATGAACATGATCAAATATGCATTGTAGAGTAAAAGAGGCCTTTGTGACTTGTGAGGCTGACTTGTTCTGTGTTTATAAATGAGTCCTGTGACTGCTCACAAGTCACATCCCTTCCCTGTGTGTCGCTGAATATTTGTGTGTGTTTACGTAGTAAATTGCAAGAAGGAATCCAGTCTTTGCCCAAGTGGACACAACACTCTATTGACAGGGGGACCAGAGAAACAGCGGGGTAAGGACAGAGGAGGTTGGGAGCAGAAAGGGACAGATGGATGGAAGAGGCTGAAAGAGAGGATTGTGAGAACAGGCACAGACGTGGGAGAAAAAGGTGACAGCAGCGAAGAAGGAAACGGAGGGCCGAGAGAAGAGGGAGACTGATTTAACAGGGAAGAGAGGAATAGTAGGGGGGTTTAGAGAAGGGAAGCAAAGATAAGAGTGAAGAGGGCCTGCTTACTTTGGCAGTCTCCCAGGCCATCTGTGTTACCCTGCTCCACGTCCTGCTCAAAGGCTGATCTGCGGGGAACAGAGACATCATGGTCAGCAGTGGAAAACAGGCCAGGCCATGCAGGCTCACCACACCTAACAAAGTAACAAAGCTATAGGAAAGCTTACAACAAAAACACCCAACACCACAGCGTATGCTTGCACACAGTGTAGGCTGCAGAAAGCCCTATACTGGAACAAAATCAAAGAACACCTAGCAGGTGCCCTGGAGGCCTAAAATCAGTGGTTAGAAAGAATGCTGGCAGGCTAGTAAATCCATAGCTGGCACAGGACTCTTCGCCAGAAGTGTTGATATAAATAGATTTATTTGACTGTAATAAAATAATGTAACAGTTAAACATTTTATGTATGATAAATATGAAGCTAACATCAGCAGCCAGTTAGCTTGACTTAGCACAAAAACTGGAAACATGGGATATCCAGAATCTATTTTCACTATCAAAATATTACATTTTGTTGGTTTGACTTTTAGAAAAACCAGTGTAACAACAATTTGTCTTTTTCATGGTTATGTGCTAGACTACGTGGCTCTCAGCAGTTACCAGGCAACCAGCAGAGACCCCAGAGATGTACTGGTCCTGGCCAACAACTAGTCAGGTCCCGTAAAATTAAACAAGTGAGATATAACATATTAATGACTGTGCTGCTGGTGTTGATTTGTTAACATTGGACGGAGTCAGGCAAGCTGTTAACCCCTGTTTCAAGTTGCTATGCTAAGTTAAGCTAACCTTCTGCTCTTTACAGATTCAGATGTATGTATATATTCAATGTTCTGTACAGACATTAAAGTGGGATTGATCTTGGCAAGAAAGCAAATACGCAGATATCCCAAAATGTCAAACACTATCTTAAAACAAATATAGAAGAAACAAGCGAACCCGTTTATATAGAAAAATTCCTTTCGTCTATAATTCTTTCCTCTGCTTCTCAGTATTTGACATCATAAAGGTATGTAGTAGAGATATGAGGCTGTAGTCCCAATCACATGGGCACAGACCAGGGCAGTGAGGGGTAACCAGGCTTGAGAGCCATCATATGACACAGAGGAGAGCGTTTCGGAGATGTTATTTTCTGATGCAATCTGCACAGAGACCTTTTTTCTTCCTGAAAGACCACCAAGCAGGCAGTAAGGAGATCTGTGAAACAGAGCGGACCAACTGTCAACCAGGATCACAGTCACGCATGACAGCTTTTCACAGTCCTCCTCAACTCCCCCCTCGCTAGTCCTTCTCCTCCTCCTGTCCACCCGCCTCTCATCTTCCTCACACTCCACTGGTCACAATTATAGCATGAAGAAGAATGATTTTCCAAAACAGCAGTGCCCACCCCTTATCCCATGATCAGAATTGGAAGTGTGCACCTGACAAGGACAGGAGATTTTAGGATGAAAATAGAATTGAATGTCTGCTTTAATGTTCACAAATCAGAGTCACTTTTCAAGTATATTTACAAAATGTAATGCATTTATTTGCTATTAATCTTTTCCTCCAGTTTCAAAGACCATCAATTGGAACGGATATGGTACATTTGCCCTGGTTGATAAGTAATTTCCCTACAAAAGCAACACCAATAACAGCCACACAAACAACAACACTGACAACACCAAAACACTGGCAACCTTGGGGTCATGGTTTTCATGGTGGATAATAACGTTACAACCTACGGTGAGACTGTGTTAAGATGAAGATTACAAGGTTTAAATCCCATTGGTCTCGAGATGAATTAACAATGAGCAGTCACACTACGGATGCAGTGTCTGGGCACGACTTGGCACATGTGAAAGTGAATAGCATGATCCTCTGGTAAAGGGTTCAGGTCCCCTTGCGGCTGCATTATAGCAACAGAAGTGCAATGAGCTCAAGAGTGACACTACAGGCGGTTCAGCTCAGGGTTACGATCCCACTGCAACCGCGTGATGCATATTTAAATCTGATTCAAACTGCACCGTACATAACTGGAGGCAACGTGAAGCCACATTTTATATCATCTTGCATCAGATGTGATTATTATGTGAGATGTGTGGTTGCACTGAAGGGACCTAGTTGCTGAAATGCAGGTCAGGCAAATTCTTATTAATTATTCATATCAGAAGTGTAAGGGGAACCGGGACCTAATATGCTATACATACAGTGCGAAGTACCTATGCATAATGCTTCCTCAAAGCCGCCCATTCATTTTAATATAAAATGGTAGACCTGCATGCTCAGACTTCATTAATCATGGTTTCACCAAGAAGTAAGTCAGTATCTGTGTGCAGATTTAATCAATGTAAGACCCCACCTCTGATCCAGAGAACAGCCAGGGCTGTGGCATTGGATTGAGTAATTCAGAAATATTTAATAATATGCTTATCTCTTGTCAGTTAAACACTAATGTACCTAGTTTACATAATGGCAACCATAAAGAATATAAAGCGATAACATGCAGGAACAGTGGGTAACTGGGGACCATATTGCAGGAGACCAGAGTGCAAGCTGTATATGGGCAGTAGGTATGAGCGGCATTACTCCACATGGGAAAGCTGGCACGCTTGCGCTGAGGCCAGATGGAAGAAGAAAGGAGGGGAGGCATGCAAGAGAGAAAGAAAATGCCAAAAGAAAGATACAAAAAGAGAGATGATATAAATAGACATACAGACAAGGATGGGCAGGTAAGAAGATAGATAGATTGCGGTAAAGTGGAAACATTGAAAGACAGACAAGGACACAGAAAGAGATGCCGCAACAGGCTTTTCATCTTAATGAGGAAGAGAAAAAAAGACTGAAGTTAAGATAGAGAACTTTCCTCCCTGCAGGGACCTGTTTGTACGAGCAAACCTTGTTATTTAACACAAAAACCCCCTCTAACTCTTGTTCATCCATCCTTCTGTCAAGCCTGGAAAAAGCTTTGAAAAGCTCACCATGGAACCTACCGGGCCTAATCCCCCGCTCTCTCACTCAGAAATATTGTACAGTAAAGGATGGAGGTCATTTGCCCTTTTAATACCTCTGTGTCGGCTTCAGCTCCAAAGTGGAACCTCAATCAGAACAACAACTGCAGATTTATGGAATAATAATAGGATAGTTCTACTTGTGTTTTTCGAGGACAAGCTTTGTTAGTACAGTACTTGTGGGTATGTGTGCATTTGGTGAATTGCCGTGCCATACCAATCATTTTGCAGCAGGGGATCAAATGTATTCAACGTCAAATAGCCACTGGAGCACTGGTACTTTTGTTATGACTTCATCTGTAAAATCTTTTTCCCCCCACAAAACTCCATATGCTGTTTGTTCAGAAGCATAATCTGGTTCTGTGTCATAACTTCAGCCACAAATTATAGTTACTACGACCATACAGCGTTCCCCAGCCCTGAGTCGCCGACCCGAGCTTGGGGCAAACAACACTTTCCTTCCTTTCATCCTTCCAATAGCCCTTTCAGCTGAAGGAATTTGCACTTACACACCATTAAATTAGAAAGATCACAGAAATGACAAATCGAGAGGGGAATGCCACCAGACATGTCAGAGAAGGTAGGGTACTTGGAAAAACAAAGTGTCTTAGAAAGCACATGTGTGTCAGTCTGTTTAAATGGAAAATCTTACACCATGAATGCAGAAAATTCGAAAAGGAACATTGACTCAAAAAGTGACAATATCTCAAATGGACTTAATTCCACATTTCAAAGTTATTACAGGTATAATAATGTTAAAAGGAGCTGCTGCTTCCTGAAGTACTTTTCTAAACTCTTGATAAAACCTCAATGTTGCTAAATATAGAAGCTCTGGTCCCCTGAATAAAGCAATTATTCAGCTTAATGTTGCAGCCAACAGTAAAGACTACAGAAACTTAGTTTTTGAGAAAGTCAATAGAGCAGCAAAATAGAATACAGCCCTCATTAATTTACAATATTTTAAATACATCAAAACAACTGTGACATAAATGGATAATAAACAATATTTTGATAATATAGCTATCTGAAATGTTACTTACTTGATGTTGCCGACAACCTGTTTGCAGGCTCCTTCTGAAACCCAACCACAGTACGGGTCTCTGGAGGCTATGCAAGACCTGAATGTGACAAACACACACACCATCAGCCCCTATGTTATTGTAATGTTGGAATAATGCTGTCAAAACAATTTTTCTTTTTGTGAATCAACGATTTCATGTGCAAGCGTCAAACGTACTTCTTGCATCTTCCATGTCTTTCACAGCGAGAGAGCGGCACTTTAACAACACAGGAGGAGAAAGCGACCCACAACGCGTGAATCTTGCTGTCTATCTGCATGCCAATGATACGCTTGTCGTCCACACCATCTATACTGCACCTAGAAGAGAGAAAAAAGAGAATAAAACTAGATTAGTATATAGTCTCTCCTTCAACTATCTAGTTATTTATGGAGAAAGTCTTGTAAAACTAAAAGTTATTGAGGAGAAATGTGAGAGGCCATACAATTGTCTTTTAATAGTTCATTTAAAGAGATAAAATGGGAAGATTAAGATATGGCAGAGAGACACACTGCGAGGTTAGTGAGAACAAAGATAATGCTGGACTCAATAACACCGGGTCAGGAACAGAGTGGTAGATAAAAAGAGATAAAGAAAGGGGTGATACAGATACAGCAGATCAACAGACAGATGGACACTGTGAGCAGTCAGCAATGCACTTAACTGTAAAACCCACTCACACAAATGTCGCCTCCTCCACCGGGATTTTGCCATTCCTCTATGCCCGCTAGTCTTTCTTTGTCTACTCGCCCCCCTGGACCACACACTCTAATCCACCTGGGCGTGTCAAGCTTTCTATCCCTTCTCTCTATCCATTCCTCTCTCCATCCCGCACCATACAGCTCCTGGGATTTAATCTGCCATTCGCAGTGCTCTAGTCCTGCATTAACGCTCTCAATTAGGGTTTAGAGTCCATCTACACTGGGTAATGCACGACAATCGGGCAGGCAGGGAAGCAGGCGGGAAAAGTCACTTACAGTATGCGACTAAATCCAGATGGCCAGCAGCCTACAAATGCTCGGCCACAGCCAAAGAGACAGTAAAAGGGAAAGGAAGGATGAGCACCAAGGAGACTCAGCAATAGAAGAGAAGGCAGGGTCTGCCCTTCATCCCCTACATACGGCTGGTCACATGGCTCCAGAATGTTGGATAACAAACAGTGGTAACCTTGAAAGCCCTCCCGTAAAGTCCCCGCTCTCCTTCCCTTCTTCTTCTCGTCTGTTTAACACAATAACAAACTCGCCACTGTGCTTCTTTCCATCTCTCCGCCCCGAGCCTCCCTCTTATGTTGGTGCTGCCATTCGTTACCCCTCATCAATTGCCTCTTTATTAAATATTTGCTTTGGCAGGGTCATTCTGTGGCTGATTTTTCCTTTTCAATTCTACTCCAAACACACAACGATGCTTAACTAGCTAAACCCACAGTACCCTTCTAACACACACTCATGAACACATTCATAATGCACCAACAGCCGTGTAATGTATTAGCTAGAGATCTCGGGCTGGCTCTGAAGACAAACACAGACTTCGGTGTGTGTGAGAGAGCGTGTGTGTGTTTCCTTTAATCAGCCAACATTTTGGAGGATCTGGGCTCGCTGAGGTTGGGAACCACAGCGCTACGTTATCCAGAGCCTTAGGGTCCATGTCTTTAATTTAGTAGCTGTGGTTGGGCAGAGTGTAACCTGATAAAACTATTTTAAATGATAGAGTAGCCATCTGGCTGTCTGGCTTCACTGTATAGCTTGGGTCGGGGGAACTGACTGGTACTGATGGAGCTGGTGGGTTAGTGGGTTCTCTGTAGATGGTTGGAAACCAAATCACACACATGCCGTCTCTAGAACACACACTTCTGCAATAAATGACCTTCCTTTGTTTGTAGCAACTGTATCCACGTGTTTCTTCCTGTTTCTCACACACACACACACACACACACACACACACACACACACACACACACACACACACACACACACACACACACACACACACACACACACACACAGCTACATACTTGTCAGGGTTGTAGACATTAAGCTCCTCCAGAAACAGGCTATCGTTCAGGATGCCGCTGTTCATGTTGGCCAGGAACTTGACAATGATGCCTTTCTCAGATCCCAGGAAGACTACTGTGTGGTTATTATAGGGACCCGCCTCATTGTCCACCACAATGCGAGTAAGACGATACCTGGAAAAGGAATATAAAGTGAAATAAGTTTATCAGTCAATTGGTCAGACAGTTTTCCAATCAGAGAACAGCGTTTCCGCCAGGAGGGAGTCTTGCCGTCATTTGAAAAAGAAAAAGAAAATTCAAGAGAAGATCGAGAGTTTTTAATCGTTTGAAATGACGAAAAGGAAAAAGGACAAGGACATCCTTCTGTTGGAGGGGTAAAGGAGTCTGGGGGGATTATTGCTGCCAGCATAGCGTGTTCCTGTGACGGAAATTGTACTGCCGGCGAGCCTTGACGGGGGGTGCTAGTGGAGCAGGCGCGTGAACTGCGAAACTGAGGCTCCGTGGTAAACTGTGGTAACATGAAGAGCCGTTTAGGAGCCGAAAGAGCCGGCTCTTCTTAGTGAGCAGAGCCAAATGAATTCCCATCACTAATACGTAAAGAGATAGTATCTATAAGGGATGTCTCAATTCAAAATTCAAGTCACGTGACAAGACGTGACGTCACAACCCCCCCCGCTCTCGGGGTGGACGCCCTCTCAGCCCTGGTCTGGCGGAAACACGGTCAGAGGAGCTACAGATGGTGATGAAAGACCTATGCACTCTCCCTCAGTGAGATTTCTACTGGGTCACATTCAAAAACATGTGATTCAAATTGCATCAAAAAAAGAAATACTAGCAGCTAGAAAGATTAAGAAATAGAACAACAATACAATTGATTAACATCATTTAGCAAATAATAGTTTTGTAACGAATCAATCAATTGATGTGCCTTTAATCATTCATGTCAGTCTAAGAAATAATAGGAGAAACAGAAGGAGACAATCTTTAAAATCTCAATAATGGATTATGTAAACTCAATCGCATTGCATCAGGGCATTTAAAAAAAAAAAATACAACAACAATTGTCAGCTATATTCTATTTTCTAATTGACAGCTGCTGATCACACAGTTTGGTCAAAGCACCAGGTGGATGAAAATCCATTTTCATTTCATTATTTCTATAAAAAAACATATCAAGCAGATTCAAGTTAGCAATCAGACACCTGTTTGGAGCTGAGCCATATTGTGCACGGGGGTGTTGTTTGTGATCAGATAACAAGAACATGTTTTAAGAAATATCTCTTGAGGCCATTTACCTTAACCATCTGATTTCGTTGAATAACAGATGCCGTTATCTCTATCTCAATTAGTTTCAGGGCCATGAAAGACTTAATGTTATGGAAACGGTATATACAGGGTTGCACATAACTTTTTTAGTGAGTTACTCAGATGAGTACCAGGAGACAGCGTTTGGTACTCACACACGAAGCGTGGTCCTCCTCAGTGTCTCCTTCACTGTCCTCTATTTACAATTCTTGCATGCTAGATGATGAAGATGCACCTCCCTGTCTCTTTTTAAGCCTCCGATTTGCTTTCTCCAAAACTTGTTGCCAAAACTGTGAAGTCCTAGCATTTCCTGCAGCGAAGTTGAAGGATCAAATACTAAGAAATTATCACACTTCCCACATCTGAAATCAGATATGACTTCAAGTCATGTGATAATTTCTTAGTATTTGATCCTTCAACTTCGCTGCAGGAAATGCTAGGACTTCACAGTTTTGGCAACAAGTTTTGGAGAAAGCAAATCGGAGGCTTNATGGATTGACTATTACAGCCTGATCTCGTGCTTTTTGTTGGGAATTAACTGTGTGTGTGTGTGTGTGTGTGTGTGTGTGTGTGTGTGTGTGTGTGTGTGTGTGTGTGTGTGTGTATAGCTTGTAACCCATAAAATAAAACTATAATAGGCTATTTAGATGCAGAAAAGGAATCCAATACAAACAAGTGTAAAAGAAAAAAAGGGAATGCTTTCAAAGGGCACTCCTATTTTATCCATTAAAGTCTGTTGGTTGGTCTTGGGTATTACAACTGCATAAGAAAAAGTAAATCCCTTTTTAATAGTTTACCTCAAGGAATATCATTTTAGACAACTTTTTTTTGTTTGAACATGTAACATATCTGGTGGTATGGAGTTCTAAAGCAGTGAGCTCACCAGATCTCTGTAGCCCACTTTGTAACTCTGCTTGAGGCGTACAGCCCGCACTAGCATGACACAATGCTGGTGGTTAATTGCATGGTTTGTAATGTAGGCTCCAGGCTTTGACATGAAATGAAAAATGCATGGAATAATTGTGAAAAGAAATCATGAATCCAACTCGTAACCGTTATTACAAGAGACTGAAGATGTGACATAGATGACTGTTGCTACATAACCCAGAGCTTTTAAAATATAACGTTTCTACTGTGTGTGTCTACATCAGGTGGTGTTTCCTCGTGTAGCCAGGGTCTGTAAGAACGACAAGGGCGGCTCGCCCCGTGTCCTGGAGAAGCAGTGGACCTCATTTCTCAAGTCTCGCATGAACTGCTCGATCCCCGGTGATTCCCATTTCTACTTCAACATCCTGCAGGCTGTGACAGAAGTCATCCGCATCAATGGGAGGGACATCGTCATGGCAACCTTCTCTACACCTTACAACAGGTACAAAAAACATAATAAGGTATTGATAAATCTACAAAGATGTGAGTGGACACGATTTTTTCACATATTTTTTATTAAGCTTTTCCCTTGTCTCAAATGACTTCAAGTGTCAACAACTGTTTTTCACTTTCCATTAATTAATACGATTATCTTTCGTGCTTTGAAATGCTTTTAGAATGCCTTGAATTTATCATCATTATGACAGTGTGACCTTTGCTAATGCCCTGCCGTGCCTCTCAGCAACATGTCAGTCCTGAGACTACTGGGTCAACATCATACATCTTCTGTCAAAACAGCTGTGCTGCCCTTTTGACATGCAGGTGTTTCATCTTATTTTCCCTTTTAAAATTCATATTCAGAGCTGCTTTCATATTCATAGAAAGGGGTAGTTGTTATCCAAATTGAAAATTACCACAAAGCCATAGCTTTGCTGATAGCTCCCACATATTGTAATTTTCCATTTTATGGCTGCTTCTGAGCAGATAAGACAATTGCTTGTGACAATGCAATTGAGCATGGTTAATGGACATTAAACCCAATGAAGCAAAGCTGCTGAAAATGTCTATAAGCGCCGGTTTAGATCCTGGCATTAATTTTCTATTTCATAGTCAGAGGGTGAAATTGGAGGGAGAACATTCCGACTATAGGAAGCACTCAGGGTTTGTCGTTTAATTGTCTAGTTTGCTGTGTTGCTGTCTGACCCTCTCACTTGCTCACTGGCTGGCTTGCTACCATCTATCTGCTGTTAGCAGCTCCATATAAACAGACGTAGGATTGTCTAACTTTGGGTATTTACTGTAATTTGGTAGCTTAGCCAAGAATTAACCACTCTGACCTTGCTCTCTATAATACTGCCCTTGTGTTATTTGTCTCCCTGATGTCTACATCATTTTAACCAATGACTTAACAGCTAGAAAATCCAGCCAGCTGAGAGAGATTTCTCTATTATGAGAATAAAGAATAAACAATTCCTAGTTTCAATTATAATTTATGAGAGCAGATGCATGAAAAATAGAAAAGTGACTCAACAATCTGTTATGCATTGAATCCAAACAGATGGAAATAAGCCAGTGGCTCCGCTTCTATCACAAGATGGGTGTTTTTCCCCTTAAATGAAAGGCAATAATAAGATAATCTGTCTATATTTCTTGCCCAACAGTGGACTTGTGATGAACTTTAATGCCTCAAGGCTTTTGGGGAAACCCAGTCTTGGAGGGTTGGAGTCTTGGAGGGATGATGGAATGTGTGTCCTCATTTAGGCTTGGCAGCGCAGACACTGACACTCATAGAAATGCAAAAGCTCAACATAAGCACTGACATAAGAGCATTCATACGGTAATCAATACAGTAGAACCATTATTCGCTACTTGAAATATAAAAAGTAACCAATGCTATTTTATTAAATGGAGGGTATTTCTTCCCTAAGCCTGGGCAACATTACAAACTGGCCTGCAACAGCTAAAATGAGCCATCCTCGAGCGATTTAAACCCTCTAAAAGGAATTGTAAATCCATGTTTCTGCTATTAGGTGATAGTCGAAATTTGGCAAGGTGTTTCTTTGATATGTTCACTTGAGAGGATTGTTTATGTGAGTTTAATTTTATTCCTGTGTGTCGTGGCAGTATTCCAGGCTCTGCGGTGTGCGCCTATGACATGGCTGAGGTGGCCAATACCTTCACAGGGCGTTTCAAAGAGCAGAAATCCTCAGACTCCACCTGGACGCCTTTTCCTGAAGACAAGGTTCCCAAGCCAAGGTACAACAGAAGTTAATTACCCACAGCACACACTCTCACACACACATAGCACACATAGAATTGAACATATTTGCACACATACAGTATATTCAGTCTCACTCTTCCTCTCTTCTCACTCTTGGCTCTCACACACACACACACACATACATGGCAACCTTATCAATGCATTAGACTTGTTGAATTACGATGTGTTAATGATAACACATTTCAAACTCCCGTTTCGTCATTTTTCTATACGCCCCTACTTTTTTCACCAAGGGATTGCACATTGTAAGTCACATTGCGTCATACCCACAGACTGTATGCACAGTTATCAACTCTTTTACCAGTTGCACCCCCGAACCAATTACCTCACCTCTCCCCCACACACAGCTGAATCAAAGAAGCGCTTCGTATCAACAAATGAAGCATGAGATCATTTTACAGATGGTTGGCTAATTCCACAAATGCACTAGCCTGATCAATCTCCCATCTATTGCCCGCTAATTAGCACCCTAAGAGCGGCTCTACTCTCCTCTAGAAGAGAAAAAAACAGATTTACCACAAAGATCTGGGACACGATAATTGTTAGTACCCTGTGTGTGTGTGTGTGTGTGTGTGTGTGTGTGTGTGTGTGTGTGTGTGTGTGTGTGTGTGTGTGTGTGTGTGTGTGTGTGTGTTCCCATATGGCTGAGGAGTTGGTTCCTCACCAAAAGAGAGCCTATGCTGTACTCTGTGCATTCATTAGTGTTTATGTGTGAGTTCCC